CCCCCCCGTCAGGCAGGGCAGGCTCCTAGGGCCAATGCCCGGTCCCTGCAGGAGGTGACGACCTGTTCAGTCCTGGATGTTCCTGTTACAGCTGATGCTTGTTCTAGGCACTGAAGCGAGACCCTCCCAAGCTGGCCAGGCCCTGCCAAGAGCACTGGACCCAAGTGTGGGCCTAGACCCGGGGTTGAATCCATCATGCTGCTGCCCCAGAGCATGAGCTGTCGCTCTGTGGACCAAGGCAGCTGTAGAGGGGATGTGGTGTCTGTCACCTTGAGCGGGAGAACCAGCTGCCCTGCCATGCCTTGCCGTAGCTGGCAGCATGTGTAGGCCAGGAGTCTGCTGGTAAAGCCTGGGCCTGGCAAGCAGCCCTGGCACTGCCTTCTGGGGACGGCTGGGGCTTGGCAAGCCATGTAACCCTGCCCTTCAGGGCAGCAGCACACCATCCTCCCTGTGCCTATGTCTGATCCCAGCTCGGGAAAGTGGGCAACTAGCAGCTGGGGCTGGAGGGGGTGGTGAGTAGCTGCGCTTCTGGGGTGGGAGCATCTGCCCCCAGTGCCCAGAGACCTGCTGTGGCTCTGCCCAGAGTTGTGCGCCTGCCCATGAGTGTCAGCCCCCTGGCTCCGAGCAAGGCCCAAGTGGGCACAGACCAGCACCAGCCTAATCTATGCAGTGCCCAAGCCGATGGCCATAAAGTAGGATGAGAAGGGACCAGATCCTGCAGCACTCCATCTGTGCGTGCACACGGGCCAAGAGCAGGTGTTTCCTGCTGCACCAGGCTTGCTGGCTCATGTCCGTGGGGGTGGCTCTTTTGCCTGCTCTGTAAGCCAGGAAACCGCCGGGCGATGCCTTCTCCAGCAGGGACCAGCCAGGTGAGTGGACTCTGGCAGACTAGGCTGAGGCCAGCCTAGAGCTGCTGCAGGTAAGTGGCTGCTATGCCCCCTGGCACCAAGCAGGGGGGCCAGGCTGCCCCAAGAAGGCAGCAAGGCCACGGCCCATGTCAAACATAATGATATTTATAGCAAAAATAGGCTTTTTCTGTAGCTTCCAGACACGCAGTTTTCTTCACACACGTACGCAGTAAACAGGTTGACTGAAGCAGCGCGCAGGCGGGCCTTGCCGCCCTCCCTCGAACTCCAGGAGCAGGACCTGGCCTGCACCCCTGGAGCCAAGCTGGGGTCCTGGAGCAGCACCTAACCAAGGAGGGGACATGCCCATGGCAGGGGGGCTGGACAGCTCTCTGCTGCCCTGCACCACCCCTGCCTGGTGGTCCCACTTGCCTCAGCTCCCAGGGCTCGCCTAGGCAGGAGCAGGCCTCACACTGGCACCGAGCAGCGAGCAGCCAGCCACAGGGGCCAGGGCCAGGCCCAGCTCCCAGGAGAACATGCCCTCCCTGATCCTGCACTCACCCTCTGCCTCTCAGCACCAAGGAAGCACAGCAGAAGCCTGCAGGAGGGACCCCCAGTTTCTGCCCTGCTGCAGCCTCCGCTAGGACCCGCAGCCACCCTCCCTGCCTGCCCTGGGGCTGGGCAGTGCCAGCCGCTCCCCCAGCCACGGGCTCAGTGTGGAGTAGGCCTGGCCAGCAGCTCCCTCTGCCCCAAAAAGGGTTTGGCACAGGAGTGAGGGCAGGGGGCTGCACTGGCAGGGGAGGGAGGGGGCGGCCTGCCGCCCAGCCCAAGGCTTGCGAGGGGCTGAGGTCCCTGAAGCAGATTGGAGCCAACCTCTCCCCTGCCACCGGCCACAGTTTGCCCATTGCCTGGCCCCATGCCCACGATGTTCCTCAGGAAGAAGCGTCATCGCCAGGGAGGCACCAGATCAGCACAGTGGGATGGCCTGGCTCACGGCGTGGCCTGTTGCTGCCCGTCGGAGCTGGCTCCAGCAGCCCTGGAGGATGGGGTGCAGCTTTGGCAGCCCTCCCTGCCGCAGCTTGGACTCTCCTCCCAGCTTGGTCATTGCACATCACGGGCCACACACTGTGGCCCACAGGGAAAAGGAAAGTCAGTCTGGTAACCGGAGCAGACAGAGCGCCCTGCCCCGCGCTGGCCAGCCGTTTGCGCGGGTGGGCACCGGTCCAGCTAGATCATGTACTGGGTGATGGCGCGCAGCGCATACAGCAGCTCCGCCTGCATCCGGGCTTCCAGGATGAGCAGGTTCACGTGGACCTGTGGAGGCAAGATAGGCTGAACCCCAGCAGCAGGCAACCCCAACCACGCGCCCTGGACTGCAGCTCCCCCCCGCCTGCTCCAGCATCCATGACATTCCCCAGGAAGCTTTGTCACTAGGGAGGCGCCAGGCCAGCATCTTCATAGACTGCATAGACATTAGGGCTGGAAGGGACCTTGTAAGATCATCAGGTCCAGCCTCCTGCCCCAGAGGCACGAGGGGTCAAAGGATCTTAGCAAGGTAAACATCCAAATGTTTCTTGGGTCCCTGATGCCAGGAAGCTCCTGCCCACTGGAGGGCTGTGCTGTCTAGGGCTGGGCCATGCACTGCTTGCCCCAGGGAAGTGGTGGTGGAAAGGCAAGGAGCCAGCCCTGTTGCTCAGAGATGGGGTTTGCTGGCCAAAGTTGTGTGCGCTCCCCCCGCCTGCACCTTCTCACTGTGCTTGAACTGCTTCCAGAAGCGGTCAAACGTCTCAGGGTTGGTCTTCTCGGGGTAGCACGTCACAGTTTTGATGTACACCTTGAGCGCCCGCTCCAGGAGCTGGTTCACTTCGGCATAGTCGTAGTCATCGTACCTGCAGGAAGCCAGGGTACGTCAGAGGCAGCTCCTGCCCAGCCCCAGATGCCATGGTCACACAGGGCAAACGCCCCTACCCTGGGGCACGAGCGGTATGAGCTGGGGGCAGCAGCAGTTGTTAGGAGGTGCTACCAGCAGCCGGTGCCACCCACTTGGGCTCGTGATGCTGACGCAGCTGAGTGACCCCTGGAGTGGGGAGAGCAATGGGGTGCCCAGCTGCTTCACCAGCCAGTCCAGGGTTCAGGGCAAGCCTGCTCATGCTCCAAGCCTGTCCCTGAGATCTGGGCAGGGCTTTGCTGGCCCCAGGGATCAGGCCAGACTCCTGCGGCACAACACCATGCCCCTACCCAGTCTTGTTCCCCAGTCCGTGGCCCCACTCCCTCCCCTCAATCCGGGCAGGGCAGGGCCAGGCTACCTGATCCCGAACATGCAGTGAATGTAGTTCCAGATGCCGCGCTTGAAGGCCGAGGGCTCGCAGCCCTGCCGCTTGGCCATAACACTGCCGCGCAGCCCGTCCACGGTGCGGAACTTCTCATCCAGGAGGTGCCCAATGTCGGAGTAGAGCCTGTTCACCAGCGAGAAGCCGTGGTCCTCCCAGGAGTAGTCCTGCCCCCAAGCAACACGTGTCAGGGCCCACCTGCTCCAGCTCCCCACAGCCCAGGAGCCTTCCCACCCCCAGCAGCTGCTGCTGCCTTCAGGGAGGTGCCTGGACACGGCAGCCTGGTCCTGCCGCTGGCAAGTGGCTCTGGCCTGCAGGGCCCAGGAGCAGGACTCCAGCACCAGAGCCAGTCACTTCAACTCGCTCCTCACCCGACCCTGTGAAACGGGGAGGCCTTTCTGGTGACTGCTGCAAGGCCCAGGGCCTGATGCCACCTCCTGCTGGCACGCACGGCCCTGTGGACGCGCACAGCCCTCCCTGCCCCAGGCTGCTCCCATCTCCTGGTGCCAGCACTCACCTGGACTCTGAAGATCTGTGTGTGATCCTCGTCGCGCCGGGCAAAGTCCTGGTATGCGAAGTCGGGGTCCTGCAGGTAGCAGGAGAGGTCTGCGGTGCTGACAGCTTCCCCGTGTAAGTCTGAGGGAGACAGAGACCCGGCGCCCCAGGCACATTGGGACGGAGCTGCCACCAGGCCAGGCAGCAGTGACCTCCCGACCCTCCACTGCTGCTGGACAGAAGCAGAACCCCAGGCCCCAGCAGAGCCTGCGGCTCCCAGAGCACTGGGCCCTGTGGAGGTGTCGCACTGGCGCAGGCCTGTGCCCAGCCTGTTCTCAGGGGCTTCCATCACGTGGGTTTTGCAGCAACCGAGCCCTCCCTGCCGTGGGGGGGCAGGCAGGGGTCCGCACCCGTGGGCTGCTCCCGGGATTCCCTGCTGCTGGGCTCTGGCCTGCCCCTCTCACCTTCCTCCCTGTCTGGCTGGGGCAGCCTCGTCTCCTCCCTGCCCTCGGCCTCTGGGTGGATCTTCTGGGCACGGTCCCGCAGCGACTCCAGCTCCACGCAGGAGTCCAGGGACTGCGCAGGGGGAGACAGAGTGGGATAAGCGCGGCTCCATGGATACCCAGGCCCCTGGTATGGGTGGGGTAGGTACAGGGGGACTGCCCAGGGCTCACCCGCTTGCGGTTGATGCGCAACAGTTCCTGGCTGCAGCCATTGCCACTGCCAGCCTCGCAGAAGCACTGGTTCCCAGGTGAGGTGGGTGCTGGCACAGCCCGGCCATCTGGCCGCTCGTCCTGCCCCCAGCCGCACCCGAGGACGAAGCTGGCCAGGGCGTGGCAGTGCGCCAGGAGCACCACGGCGTGGACCAGCTCGGCCAGAGACCAGCTCTGCTCGCTGATCTTCAGAAGCTTCTGCAGGGGCAGGGGGCACACGGACAGACTGACGCCACAGCAGGGGACGGCCACCCCCACCCCCCGGGGCTTCTCTGCCTGCCCTTCACCCACCCGCTGCTCACCTCAATGTGCTCCTTGCTGACCAGCCAGGGCCGGTGCGCCAGGATCTTGTTGATCTCATTGAGGTTGCGGAGCTTGGGCGGAGTAAAGGCCAGGCCCCGCAGCCACTGGGGGTCCCCCCCCATGCGCAGGAACTGCAGTACATGCAGATTCACCAGGTAGCGGCACTGGTGCCGGGCAGCTGCCTGCAAGAGCCAGTCTGAGCCTCAGCACCCCCTGCCGAGGATGGCCAGGCTGAGCCCTGTGCCTGCCAAGCAGCCAGCAGAAGCAGCACGAGGTTCCACCCCAGCTGAAACCAGGTGCAAGCCCCAGGCGCTGCCCATGCACCCAGCAGGTCATGGCCAGGCAGGCGGCAGAGCACTGCCCGGGGACGCACCATGATGGCGATGTAGTGCCGGCAGGCGAAGGGCAGCGGGCCGTCCATGTGCAGCAGGTAGTGCTGTGTCTTGAGGAAGCTGTCCAGGTACTGCGGGTGGTAGCCCATCTGCTGCGTCACGGCCTCCGCGCGGCCCCGGCTGGCCAGCGCCTTCACGAACAGGAACTGGGGCCGTTCGGGGTCACTGCTGGTCATCTTCCCCACCTGTCGGGACAGCCATGTCAGAGCTGGCGGCTCCCGCAGGACCTGCCCCCTCCACACCCCGGCCTCAGCAGGACACGCGCCCGTGATGCAGTTCATCCCAGTGCCCCAAAGTGGTGCCCAGGGCAGGCCCAGCTTTCCTGGGGCCAGCCCTTCCCATCCGGCTGCAGGGACTGGGACGAGAGACCCAGCTAGGGCTTCGTCACCGGGGTCCCCGGTGCCCTAGTCCAGGAGGCCGTGGTTTCTTCCCTGCCTGCTTCTCTTGGGCACGGCTCGTGCCCTGAATGCACCAGGCCTGTGCCACGGGGACCTCCCCTGCCCTTCCCCACACCAGCAGCAGCCACTGGCAAGACCAGCACAAGCAGGAGGGTGCGTGCCCAGAGCACTGCGGCACTTCCCTGCACCCTGTGCAGCCAGAGGCCCCAGCACAGGACCCAGATTGTGCATAACTAAGCAAGGACTGCACGACCCCACGTGCCTGGCCCGCACAAGAGCTCCTTCCACGGTGCCCCTGCCTGAGCCAGAGGCAGGATGGACCCGGACACAGCAGATGCCCTGTCTCCGGAGACTGCTCATAAGCTCCAGCGAAGTGCCCCAGGTCCAGACCCTCCAGCAGGGAGGATCAGGACGCACTGGGGACCGAGCAGCGCAGAAGCCAGTGCCCAGCACCACCTGCCTGAAGCAGCCTCCGCTCAAGGCTCCTGAACCGGTAGCATGAGGCCACTGCCAGGGGGAACCCGGACAAAGCTCAGGGCAGTGCTCAGGCCTGGAGAGCAGCGGCCAGGCCTATGGCTGCCCCACGGCCCCAGACGCAGCTCCCAGCTCCCCTTGGCCAGGTCCCAGGCCCGGGGGCGGCACCACGCAGGCAGCACCTCGCAGCTGGCCTGGCCCCTGGCACCGGAGCCCACCGGGGAGAAGCAGCGGCTGCCGCGCCGCGGGCCCCCCGCCCGGCTCG